ACCAAAATTTTTTATTTACATACTTTGAACATTTTAAAATCTATCTCTTTAATTTTTTGATAATATAAAAAAAAATAAAAGAATTTTACTTTTATTTGCGTTGTTATTTTTTAAACTTCGAGAAACATAGTTTTGCAAATAGAAAAAACTATATTTATAACATATAAAATAATGTAAAATTTTTTAAAAAGTACATTGAATTGCTTAAAACTAAAACGATATACTTAGCCGCTTATAATATAAATTTACTAAAAAATTGAAATTTCGCTTCGCAACTAGTTTCGACTCTTGGATCGAGTCATCTTCAAGCATCCAAAAAACCTTCCGTTCGTACATATAGTTAAATTAAAATAATAACTCCTCGATTTCTCCATTTACTACATGATATTGGCAGTACACGGTAGAAAAATCGTATACTAAGCCAATATATCTGTAATTTTAACATAAAGTTGAGAAGAATCCATCGAAAAAACTTTGTCAGATTTTATATAAAATGTTAAACTCACCAACGAAGTCATACAAATTATTATTTAAAAAATTTTGTGATAATCGATTTGTCAGTTTACAGCACAAAAAATTATTTTGTCAGAAGAACAGTAGTTATAAATTAAAATAAAAATAAAAGTAAAATACATGTTCACGGAATAATAAAATAAAGTATTTATATGTACTGATTTTATTTTAATTTAAAAAATAATGGAAAATGTAATGAAATATTATTTTTTAAGTAGCGATAAAAAAGGTAACGAGTTACTTTTAAAGTATCTTTTAAAAAGTATAAGTATACTTTTACTTCAAATATATCTGGCTCTATAAAGAATACCTACTGTATATACCTATATAAGCAACCCCCATAAATGTAACAACACATATTGACACTATAAACACTGCAATAAGTTTCCTGCAACCTAAAACAAATAAAAATTTATTGGAATTTATTGTAATATTCATTATAATATAGGAAGATAATCGAATTGTGCGGTATGCATATACATATATATATTATAGATTATATCTTATATGTCTAAACGCATAAACATATTTCATATATATGAATGGATTATATAATGCTTATAATCGTTATAATAAATTTATATTGTAACGAAATAATAATTCAATTTTCTATCTGATATAGTTATGCTAAACTAATAATCATTTTACTATTTTTTTCTAATATTTTACAATTAAATAAATGTTACTTTGATTACATTAAAAAAACAACAGATTTTAAAACAGTGATCTTTTCTAATTTTTATAATGCATTTGTTTTCTATTGTTGCTTATATGACATTTATCTTAACTCACGTTTCTCGTATTTGGTTCTTGTTATTATTGTTCTGTTGCAACTTATGTTAGTTGATTGACTTTGCCATTCTGGTGACTGGCCCGATACGTATTGTGGGTAAGCTGATTGAATAGATGTTCTATCCAGATAACAATTCGGCGAATATGGATATGAAAACGCCGTTGATGGTGAATAGGCTACCATATGCGAATATCTTTGGTCAAATTGTGGATTGTGTGTCTCTGACGCAGATGTTCTTGTTGCTTCTGCGTATGAGGGTGGTGCAACATTGTTTATTGTATAGATATTTGATTTATTCTGCATGTTTATACTGCGTCACGGCTTCGTAGTAATCGTCACAAAATCTGAAAGAGAAAGGAAGAAGAATTGAAGACGTATAACTTTTTCAAAAAAAAATTATTGAAAAATGCGATAAAATATCTCGAAAACAAGACATTGGAGAAAGAAATGTTTTAAACTAAAGTTGTAAGTTTTCAACAAATGCATAAAAGAGTAACACCCGTTTAAGTATGAGCGCAAGTATAAAGAATCTCTCAAAGTCAACCTTGAAATTTTTTATGTAAATTCCCAGTTTTTATTTAATATTCTTGTAGTAGACAAGATATTTTTTCAAAACACATTAACACAAAATTCTTTTTGGTTATGTAACAACTTCTTTTCGCGATGTGAATTGACAAAGTATCATCTACATTAGTATTACCCAAGGTGTCCAACCGGGCTCAATAAATCTTGTAACTATTGTTTAGACTTTTTACTATGTCATCGTATATTAAGGTCAAAACCATTGGAGGTTATTCCTCTTATCTCTACTACAATAAAGTCTTTTGAGTTTTATCCATGTACATGCAAATCTATAAATTTGCATACTTAAATTATATATATAGGAGGTACGTACTAAATTATTTTTAGCTAATACTTTTATTTCTTCCTGTTTATCATCGACCGGAAGCAATTCTTATAATGAATTATACGTGCTTCGATTCTATGATATAAACACAAAGAACACTATATTGGCATAAAAATAAATTTTCCATGTTGCATTAATGATTTACAAAAATAATTAATTTAGCTTATTATAATGATATATATATAATATTATAATGAAATGTATAAATATTTTTTATGGCCTTTTTTTTAATTTTTCATAAATGTACATAACAAAAATAACGTATTTTCAATAGTAATTTGCAAAAATTTTTATCGATGACGTAACTTCCTAAAAGTTCTATTCTTAATTAAACATTTATAAATTAAAGGTAATCTTTAATTAGGTTAGAATCAAGCCTTTTTAGATAAAATTTTAGTACAGAAATAACTGCTAGGGATTAAAACGTATCAATATAAATTTTTAATTTTGTCGTTTTATTTTCTGGTAATTAAGTTTTGATAGTATTCTCGAATTTCTAAGCTCTTAGTTACTTTTAAATATTTTTTATCTACTTTTTTTAGTTATTTTACCTAATTTATTTTACATATATTTATTTCAGATTTTATGTTTCTTTTATCTTGATAATGATTTTTTTCATATCTCAACATCCGAGATTTTACATATTTTGTGACAAATACATAATGAATGACAAATAAATAATGAACTTATAAAATTGAAGAAAATTTTGTAATTGTACCTGGGAAGTACCTGCTGTTGACTTCTTTGTAATGACGATATTATCAACGATGTTTTCTAGTGTGCTAATTGTAATCTGCAGTCAGATATATTTTAATACACATTATGTATTGTTTATAAAATTACAATGATTACTACAGAAATGTTTTAAAATTATAATTTTTCAACTGAAATTTAACTACGAATCTCTCGTCTGGTTAAATGTTAAATGCTTCCGTAAGCTCGATATTATTACATTAATGTGATTACATATCAACGTTATAAGATAACATTTCGTTAGAGATACATATATTTTATAATAAGTGTTTGGCTAAAGCAGATAAAAACAGACGGATAGAAAAGGATAACCTATATACGCATGCGTAGAAAAAAATATAAGTTGATGATATTACATAATTGTTTATCTTACGGCTGTCTTTTTCTTTTTCTCTTTCACTCATTTCCGTAAATGTATAAAATTATCTAGAGAGCACACTGAATGAATCACAAATGGAGGCCAATTAGAAAACTGATCTGCTTTGATTATACTATTTTTATAGGATTTCTATAGGTATATGTTCTTATCAATTACGAACTGTTTATGTTACGCAGTAATATTTAATAAATGTTTTATTTATTAATACTGCAAATAATTCGTAAATGTTATTTGAATATTAACATTTTTAATAGCAATAGAGTAACGTAATTGTGTCTGTTCGTTATAAGTATCCGATATTATAATGCCATATAATAGATGAGATAACATCAGAGTCTTAACCAATGTATGACGCATTCAACTTTTTATTCTATTACATTTTTCAATTTAATTATAAAACTTAACAACTTAAATAACAATTTAGTACTTGTAAAGAAGAATTAAGCACTTCAAAAAGTAAAACACATTCAAAACAAGTTCGAACTTAACTATATATTATATTTATAATAAATAATGTCTTAAACAGATAATTAAAAAGTAATAACTTATAGATAGATTGTATACGTTATATGTGTATATCCATTGTATCTTAATAATCACTATTGTCTCAGACAGTACAGAATATTTATAATAAATATTTTATACATATTATATATAAACTTGATTCGAAAATATTATTAAAATATAGATTAATATTTTATGTAATATTTATAATAAATATAAATTAATATTTTCAGTATAAATATTTTTTTACTTACAATTAAATTACACTGCCTTATTATTAATTATGTATCTGTATAGCATTTATTGCAATATATACAACAAATGTTTTATAATATTAATAATAAATATTTATAGTCTGTCCAATCTAAGATCACAAAAATATTTTCAAAATATTAAAAATAAATATTATAAATATTTTGCAAACATTTTATAAATATTATGTATTGCCTGGGGTATGTTCTATACATAGAAAAAGTTACATAGTATTATAATCTTCGTAGTTACTAAATAAAATTAATTAAAAAATTTAATATTAATATTATACTATGAACAAATAATTTGCTGATATAATAATTTAATATTACATTTTCATAATAGTATATTATAATATTATATATATTATTCTGCTCTTACTTACACTTATTGAAAAGCTCTAAGGATTAGAGTAATAAGAGCCCCTATAGATGCCAATATTCCTAATACCCATATCATTCGAAAAAGTCTGGTGCATGCTGATAAAAACAAAAAACTTATACTAATAAAATTAGTAAGTGTCAAATTGTACACACACACACATACAAACTATATGTATTCTTAAACACAGACGCCAAATGTATGAGTGGATTAAAACGCGTATAATTATCACTATAAATTTTTTTTATAATGGAGTTATAAATATTTCTATTTGATATAGTTATTTATGTTATTATAATGATTATTTTTTTACAATATTTTCTGATTTTAAAATTAAGTAAATCTTTATTTGATTACATCTTTAAAATTAACGAATTTTAATAGCACTTTTTTCTTATTTACGTATTTTGCTTTCTGTCCTTATTTGTGACATTTATTTTAACTTACGTTTGTAGTCGCTTGAATTTGTTCTTGTTATTACTGTTCTGTTGTAAGTTACGTCCGTTGGTTGACTTTGATGTTCCGTTGACTCATATTGTGGATAAGATGATTGAATAGGCACTCTATCCATATTCTGATAGCCATAATTCGGCGAATACGGATGCGGAAACGGCGCTGATGGAGACGGATAGGTCGTTGTATGTGGATATCTTTGGCCTAATTGTGGATTTTGTGTATCTGATGCAAGTGCTCCTGTTGCTTCCGCGTATGAGGGTGGCGCATCGTTTATTGTATAAATATCTGGTTTATTATGCATGTTTATATTGTGTCACGGCGACGTAGAAATTGTCGCAAAATCTTAAAGGAAAAAAAAGAAAATTTAAATTAGATATATTCTCTCTTAAAAAAAGCAAATGTTGAAGGCACAGTGATATGTTTATGATAATTTATAATCGTTACATTTTACGTTAAGAGCTCAAATAATTTTGAATGAGATTAGAATAAAACATTTTTAATATTAAAATTAAAATTTCAGTGCAGAAATGATTGCCAGAGACAAGAACGTTAATACAAATTTATTTATAGCATTATTTATAATCATAGATTTTTCTAGTAATCCATGGTTTAATAATAACATATACGAGTACGGTACTTTCTTTAAATATACCTAGCTGTTTTTCATATTATTTATGTGTTCTTATTTTGGATACTTTATTTAGTTAATTTATTGCCTTGTAATCTTATCTTCTTTTATCTTGATATTGATTACTTTATATCAGCTGGCTTTGAGATATCTTGTATAACTATGCTAGCTATTGTGATAAGTATGTGAATGACTCACATTATAAAAATAAGGAAAATTTCACATAAATGTACCTGATATAGTGTTGACTTTTTTGTAACGACGATGACGTCAATGATGTTTTCTAGTATGCCAGTTGTAGCCTGCAGTCAAATATACATGTACATCATGTATTATCTATAAAACCATGATTATTACAAAAACGTTTAAACAGTAGAATAATTTTTCAACTGATGTTTAACCGTGAATTGTCAAGATAAAAGTCAAGTGCTTGGTTTTAATGCTATAGCAAAGTGATTACATATCAACGGTTAAAAAAATAACGTGTCATTTAACCACACACACATTATCAGTAAAAATTTATTGTCTTTTTACGCAATATTAAATATTGTTTAATGAACCTTATATTTATTAATAATTCATAAATGTTCTTCTAGTATTAGTTTTTTTAATTATATGCAATTTACTAACTGCAATTTTTATTTTATGTATGTCTTACTGTTAATATTGTTAATATTGCAACATTTAGACGCGTATATATTAAAAATATTATTTGTATTCTATTACTACGAATGTCATATTCTTAGCAATATTTATTGTAATTATCCACATGAAATTTATAAATATTATGATCCGCTTATTGTTTATTGTTTAAGACAAATATATTAACACGAATATTACAAATATAATGTTTATTAAAAAATTAGATAAATTTAAATTAGTTTAAGAGGTTTTTTTTTCTGTTTCTCAAACTTTAATTTTAGAATAATTTTAGAATCTCACTTAATCGTTTATGGACACGTGATTTTAATGAACCATCTCTGAATTATCACTGTCAGTTACTACATATGTGTCAGCTCGTAGCCTCTTAAATATAACTAGAGGAAGAGAAACAAATGCCAACATTCACATTATCAGCTCTTGGTCTGAAATTCCCTCTTTAAAAGAAGTAATAAAGGAGCGGGAAATTTAAATGCTTAAATGTTTGAGCAATATTTAAAATATTTGTGGATTAAAAATATATATAAAACATATAGGAATAGCTGTAATTAATTCCGAAAATAAAATATTAAATTGTATTTCTTGAAAATATCTTACTGTTATATTGTTGTTTGTACGCAATTAAAAAAATTAGCTTTAGATTGAGTTTATGAGTTGAATTGTGAATCATTTCAGTTATGTCAAAATGAGTGCAAAATTGTTCAGAAGATAATAGGGATAAGCGAATCTAACGTCTCTGTGAAGTTAGCACCTCAACTTTAAAAATCGGAAAATTTAATAACAGTACTGCTTGCACCCGCAATAGTTCTAGAGTTCCTGATAGGTTTCATCAATAGTACTGTTGATTTAGGTCAAAAATTTTAAAAAATAAAAATATGCGGTGCTAACTTCGCATGGCACCGCAAGATTTGAAAAAGCCGATTTTTATGACGGAATCTCGCAGTACTCGAAGAGTGCTACAGTTCCTGATCGATTATAACAATAGTACAGGCCATTAAATATTTTTAAATAAATTTTTAAAAAAAGAGCTCGCACCTCAACTTTCACAAAAATTATTTTTTTTGCACCATTTTGTAGTACTCGAAGAGAGTACTACAGTTCCTGATCGGTTTTAGTGACACTACCCATCTTTATAATATGTTTAAACAATTTTTCGATCCACGAATTGGCACCACACATCAAGAGTAAAGTGCCTCTAAACAGCCAGTACTCGCATCGAAACCTGCATATTTCTTCGGAACTATTGTAGTACTGTCGGAAAAAAACGAAAAGTCGGCCAGTACTGGCCGTTTAGGGGCACTTTACTCTTGACGTGCGGTGCCAGCGGAAAAATTAAAAAATTATTTAAACATATTAAACGGGGAGTACTCGGGTCGACACCTGCATATTTCTTCGGAACTATTGTAGTACTGTCGGAAAAAGTCGAAAAGTCGGCCAGTACTGACTGTTTGAAGGCGCGCACTTTACTCTTGATGTGTGGTGCCAGCGCGCGGATCGAAAAATTGTTTAAACATATTATAAAGGTGGGTAGTGTCACTAAAACCGATCAGGAACTGTAGTACTCTTCGAGTACTACAAAATGGCGCAAAAAAAATAATTTTTTTGAAAGTTGAGGTGCGAGCTCTTTTTTAAAAAATTTATTTAAAAATATTTAATGGTCGGTACTATTGTTATAATCGATCAGGAACTGTAGTACTCTTCGAATACTGTGAGATTCCGCCATAAAAATCGGCTTTTTCAAATCTTGCGGTTTGCCACGCGAAGTTAGCACCGCATATTTTTATTTTTTTAAATTTTTGGCCTAAATCAACAGTACTATTGATGAAACTTATCAGGAACCCTAGAACTATTGCAGGTGCAAGCAGTACTGTTATTAAAATTTCCGATTTTTAAAGTTGAGGTGCTAACTTCACAGAAACGAATCTAACGATTATTTTGACAGAAAGAGTTGTATGTTCTTTTCCTTCTTATACTTCTATATGTGTTTACTATTCTTTTTGGATATCTCTTAGCAGGCGAAGTTTTTGTGATCGAAAACATTCTCGTGCAATTTAAGCATTAAAAACTCATATTTATAATATATATATTATATATATATTGTATTTATGTATTAATTATATATGTATAATGTATGATATTATGTTCATTTGAGAATCAAATTTAAATTTCCGTTATTGTATTCAGTTTCTTTTTCACCTTTACTGATTAAGAAACACATAGTTAACGATAAAATAATTTATTTATTGTAATGACACGAAGGAAAAAAAGATAAAGAGAAATTTATTGAAACAATCAATATAATAACCTTTTTACATTCCGTTTTGCGAGTGCGGTTTGCCTTGCTGTTTCTATAGAGGAAATGTATTTCCATCAAATCGTAATCTGATCGAGTTATACTCTCGCGTGAAGCATCGCAATGTCAATATCACAGAGAAAAAAAAAGTTTCACGAGCGATGTATGTCGTGTTCGTATTTTATCGAGTGTCGACTTTCGACTCTAAACCCCCGTACGCTATAGAATGCTGCGACGTTGCACGAGAGAACGGTGTTTATGGATTAGTCCGGAGAGCCAAGTGATCCCAGTGATTCTCAATCGGTGCGGCAATAACGCGAGTGTATTCCGTTGCCAAAAAGTTTGCCTCATACGGGGCGCATGTCGCCTGAGAGGGTCGGGGAAAAGCTGGAGAAAGTAGGGAGAGCAGGTCGCGAGAGGGGAAAAATGGGTCGGCGCCAGGGTTTAATCAATGGTTTCGGCGCCAACCGGGCGTGTCTGTAAAAAAAATGCACAAGCCGCTCATGTAACGACGGAAATTCGGATTGTCATTCGCTTCACGATAGCGCCTTCATCGAATGCATCTTCATCCCTCTCTTTACTTCTTGCACGCGGCCTCCCTGCTGCATCTCGTCTCCTGTCCGTCGTTTCGGCCTCCCATGCCACGCGTCGGTTTATCGTGCATCCCCTTTCCACTTTTTATTTCTTTCTTCCGAACGACGTCGTTGCGGCGCCGCTGTTCCGCAAGTCACCCCGGCGCCGAATGTGACACTCGTCGCTCACTCGTCAATGTTCAAGAAGTACGACCAACGGAAAAATGTTGCGTGTACGATATCGTATCATCGGCCGAATCAAACTTTCATTTATGTGTTCAAAAGAGGCCGTGTACGACCAATTCATTTACAACGGACTAATTAATGCCAAGCATAGCGATTGCGATTGTTTAAAGATACTGTTGATTAGCACATTATAAATTTGAATTAACTGCCGGTGTGATTATATAGCATTATACGAAATAAAGATCTTAATGAAGTATGTATTTAGGATTATATAATTTTGTACACTAAAACATTTTAAAGAGAAATATTTTTGCCCTAGTAAAGTTGAGCTATAAATTGTCTTGTTATGTTAATAAATAGATACATGGATTATATAAGTAACTAAACACACCGGTTAAAGTTATAGAAAAGCATATGAAAGAATGTGATAGCAAAAAATGTTATTGACAAGTTGCAACTCTCGTCTGACGTATATTATTAAAGTCCTGCATCTCGTATGACGTAGTTTGTCATTACGTCAAACATTATATCGAGGGGGTAACCACTATCTGAAATATTGTCCCACAGATTACATGATTTCATTTAATTTTACATAATTTTATTTGATGACAAATAATTTTTCCTCACTATATATGCGGTCAGTTGGTAAAATTAACGATTTTATCTAATATTACACAATTATTTCTTTTAATTGTCGGATTATATATCAAAATTTTATATAAATTTTATAATGATTTCAGGAACTCCGTCCCACGATTACATTATGTGATTACCCCCTCGCATTATATACATTCTCAGAATAGAATTAGCCGTGTTAATTGAATACGGAGTACTGATTAGTTAACAATTCAAAATAGATTTAAAAAATTATTTATTCATGAGTATTCTTCGAATTATGTGTGTGTGTTTGATATGTATATTTGTAGACTACAAATTACTTTCTTTTTAATTATTTAGTTTTTTTTACAAGAGATAAAGAAAATAATAACCTAAAAAAAAAATTAACGTTCTATATAGCAGAAAATGCACTTGACAAAATAAAATTTGCAAATATAATAATTTAATTAATTTTAAGATGTCAAATTGTAAAATAAATACGAATGATGAGACGTCATCTAAATTATAGATAAAAATTAAGTCAAAGTATTGGCCTTGTAAATGAGATTAATAGATTACGCCTGTTTACTGTATGATATTTTCTTGCAGCAAAAAAAAATAATTACTCTCTAATCTTAAATAATTAATTCAGGTAATTTATTGTTAGATACAAAGTTCTATAAGTGATATATAATGATATATGAAATGTATTTATTTGCCTTAAAATATGTATAAGTAAATGGTGTCTCATCAATGCATGTAAAGTTGTAAATATTAATTAAGCAAATTATGTATTCACGTAAAACATTACTCATACGTACTACTAATAATCTTGCGTGTCAATAGTATATTAAGTGCTTTGCAATAAAATCAATATTATATTAAATCATTCTTTTCGAGTCGTTTAAAATGTTGTTTAATTTATAAAAATTCTATATTTATTTCCTTCATTTAATGTTATTTTAAGTATTGTTATTAATGAATTTTATTATTACATTGTATTAGTCGGTGCAAAATGAAATCACTTGGCTGTTACGATTTACCTGATGTCACGTATGTAACTCCTGTAACACGATAATATACGATCTTAAAACGTCAAGGAGGTCATGCTTTCGCGAGGCTTCAACGACTAACGTGTAGCTCCGGAAAATGTACTCAGACAGGCTGTCGAACGTTAAGGCACTGAATTCACGCCACATAATTTCCGGGTGTGACGGTGGTTTCTGTCAGCGGAGAAGCAAAATGGCAATGTGACATCCGCGGTAATTCGCTATAGCCTTACTGCTATATGTGTAATCGTCATCGTAACGTCATCTGAATGCACAAATTTTTCTATACGTATACAGAACTAAACAAACAATAGTGGTAACAGCACATTGTGATATGGCATTGATAATATAATTTATTTTAATTAAAGTTAAAGTTGAGTCATAAAAGTGCAATTATAGTTCGTGAGATCGAGAACACTGCACATTGAGGACATCAACAAGTAAAGGACTTTACTCATTTGCTGTCCTCCTTTTAATTTCTTATACACTATGAAATCTATACTTAGAGTAATACAATTTTTTAAATATAAATTTAAGGATTAAATTATGTTTTAATTTCTCAAAGAAGAAATATTTTTCAAGTATAAATACTTTGTTTTTTTTAATGTAAAATATTATTTATATTACATTCTAACTTAAAT